TTGATCAGCATCAATAGCCGAGTCGATAGAGCCATGTCTGTCTGTCCGTCCTTCTGTCTGTCCGTCCTGTTTGTCGGCTCGTTCTCAGAGACTATAAGAGCTAGAGCCACCAAATGTTGGCTTCGGACTGCTGTATGCTCACACTGAAACCAGTGTATTTAAAAAATGAGCCACGCCCCCTTCCGCCCCCCGCAAAAGGGCGAAAACCCCCCAAATCTACAGTTTTTAAATACAAGAAAACTAAAAACGCCATTCCGTAGGAAATGGCCATATCTATCAGATCACCAAATTGTTGGTGTGAGAAGTGTTGTAGATGACAGATGAAGAAAAAATTTAAAATTTGACAAAACACCGCTGAGGTGCAGATGCACTATTGTCCCAATGACCAGTTTTGGTGGCTGTTTACGCCAAATTAGCGCAAAGGGCTTATGGCCTGGAGCAATTAGTATTTTGTATAAGTAAAATGAATTTGTAGCATTAAGCTATTGAGTTGTTGCATTTACGACATACTGACAGAAGTTTGTTGCTAAAGAACATACATGTAATACGCTCTGTATTAGAAAAAGAGTGACCATCAAAGTTGCGTACGAGAAAATTTCATAGATGGCGCCACTTTCGAAAAATCTGCTGTGAAACCTAACGGTCATTATTGCACAGAATGTGCAGGGAAAAAGTACCAATTTTATTGCTGTTTTAAATATCTCATAAATTGGAAAATACGATTAACTGATCCAATTTTTTTGATGCATTTTATTTAGTAGGCTTTTTACTACGTGTTCTGTAATGTGAACGATATCTAGTGGTTGGCGATGTCTTCTACATCTAGATGTAGTCCTGAGTGCCGGGTATAAAAGTTGTGACGCGTAAGAAGCGTCTCACACATCCCTTCTCGTTTTTTGTTGCGTTCGCAAGTCGTACAGAATGGAATATAATACAATTAAAGTGACTTATAGTAATAAACTTGATAGAATGAATGCCTTTCACCTCTATATAGTGATCAGAGTAGTGTTCATCCTAATCATCATTCCCTGTCTGCGTTGCTGCTGGTCCTTCCTGTGTTGTTGCAAACGGGGGAAGGAAGAAGGTACTGCCATTGGATTATTGCGTGTACATATAGGGACAGGGAAATGTATTAGATGATCAAAGATCTCATTACATAGTTGGAACGCTGATTCCTAACACTCTCGTAAGTTTTGATGTTCTTGTTCAGCAATCAATGGGGGACATCAGCTTATTTCAGCTGAGTTTGGGCACTCAAACGTCTTGCCAATGAGTAAATTAATCAGTGGATCTGCATTCAGCATCTCGCGAGACCGGCTCCACACGTGAACAGAGCAGAACATGGTCACTCCCAGAAGGCCAAAGGAAATAGTTGGTCTATCGGACTAAATTCTCCTGAGAGGTGTGATTGCATGAACTTTTTTATTTTTTTTGTGTGTATTGTACTGGAAGTCCAGGAACCCAGGAAATCTCCGAGAGTTAGTTGATCACTCGATGGTTTCAGTTCGTTGTATTCAAACGTGTTTTGTTCTGGTTTCAAGTTGTATAGAATGGAACAATATTTTATGAAGACGTGATAATCGTGATAATAATACGACTCGCGTGACCATTAATGTGATCAATATGGTATTCATCCTTATTATTATTTGCTGTCTGATTTTGGGAGTACTTAAACCTGTTTATTATATAAAGTTTGATCAAAAAAGTACCCACAAAATGGAACTTTGTGTAAAAAGTTTTTCAAAAATTTTTGGAACACATAATAATACATATTGAATCTTTCTAAATTTTAATTTGACATTTTAGTTGTTGTTAAGAATATTCTTCATATAATGAAACAGATTGATACTTATGCATCCCTTGTGAGTATTTCTGCATACTGTGATTGCTCCAGAATATTAGTCACCTTTGTTAAATAGGATTATCTAAATTAGATTCGCAGCAAAGAAAAATAGGTAATTCCCTTATCAAAATGAGTTCCAAGCCAGCAGCAAGTGGGAAAAAGCTCGACTTCAAATAACCTGAATTGCAGCCACTGGTCATGGCAGAGCTTTTGAATGACGTCATTTAGCGTTTTCTTGCTAGCTTTTCATGTCTTCGATCTACTTAGTCGATTCGCTTCTGTAAGAAATTGTTGTTATTTTGGATTTACCCACCAAAAACACTCTTGGTTATCTGCTATGTCTTTAATTTATGCCTTAAATGAACAAAAAAATATGCGTGTCAGTGATTCTATAATAAAGAATAATAGATACATGTATGCGCAAAAAGTTTACATTTTATTGTGTAAAACCGATTGCGAGATGACTGGATCTTTTATTCTCTCATGTGGCTTGTATCCTTTTTTTCTTACGAAAACCCAACATGAAGCTACACATCTAAGCATACATTAAAAGAGATGATCTAATGAATGCTCTAATGAACCATTATTTTGGCTAAGCGATAAGGAAATGAACTGCTAATTTATAACCAATTATGCCATTCAATACCAGAACGTCAATGAAAATGGTGACCTTGCTTGAGTGACCTTTTGACGACATTTGACCAAAGTTTATGAATATCCTTTATATACCATTAACTATATAATATTTCTGTCTGTCCTACAGAGTTTAGACACGTATTCCACGTATTAACTGATTTACTTACTCTTACTTACGCTATAAATATGCTTTAAAAGATTAAGGATTTGTAATGCCAAGTGAAGTGCAGACAATGACTCTGGGCTTTCATTATATATACATATTTGAAAACACTGATTAGCAGACTGTGATTGATAAATGACACTGGTGTATTCTTTCAACTGCTTCCAGTTAGATTACCCAGCTGGAATCAATTCGTTAATTTTACCAATTTACTAATTGCCAAATATAACCTTTATGCGCCTCACTTAATCATCATATGGCAGGCCCATCGAGACAATTATTATCTGACCCATTTAGTTCAGTCGAAACCTCTCAGCATGAACGCCACCATATTCGATGTAGTCGAGAGAATTTCGCAGCGAATGCATTTGAATTGTAAGTTCCTGGCATTCGAGTTCGGATCTCTGTCAATTCTGGTGGCACTTGTGGTGGTCTATGCCTGGATAGTGGCCAGAGACGTGATCTAAGCCAAAATATGACCAACCTAACGCTGGAACCAACTACCAGACGGAAGAGTTCTACCACAATACCCACCTGTACGTTCAGGCTATGAGATTGCTCGTCAAGCTGCTCTTCTACTTCGTGAGTAGCAGTGTGCTGGTCAGTGCAGTGTATTTGGGGCGTCGTCAACGTCGTCGCATTCAGGCGCTCAACGATCGCCGTAAGTTTCGTGGCAAATATGTAGTTCTACTGCGAGTGCGAATGCGAATGTGAGTGCTCTGATAAGTTATCTTTATGAGTGCGATTGCCCTTTTCTTTGGCCATTACTCGGCATTTTTCCGACTGCGAATCTAGCCGCTTTGGCTGTGCATTTCGGGTTTAGTCTTTGTGCACAGTCGATGCCGTGAATGTCGCTTTAAAGTTCTAATATCATGGATGATTCTGGCTTATATTGGATACTCTTCTTCACATTCTCTGTCTTCTTCCTGACGTCTGTGGCCGCATTTCTCACCCGCGGACGCAATCAAAGGGCGCAGCTAACCAAATGTGCAGGTGGGTCTCACGGGGAGTTCCCTCCAAAAAATACGATTCATACAATCAAGCAGCCGATTTCCGTATCAGTCAATAGTCAATTTAACCATTTGTGTTAATAACCATAAATATATCAGTTTGTTTTCGCGTGCTCCAACGGAAAGCATTGTGTTTTATGGTTTTTTGTTATAGAAATGGATTCCTCCATAATTCCCATAATATCTTGTACTGTGTTTTTAATTGTCGGCTTTTGTATGTTTTTAACACTATTCTGCATGGTCAAGAAGTTCAGGAGAATAGGTAAAAAATCAACGTATAGAATCACAAGTTATTGTCACAAAGAAATCTAAACATATGTATTGTGTGTCATCCCGCCCAGACGTAATCGCTTATCGTGTGGGCCATACTCGGCCATTGATTAGACACGGTCTGGGTGTGGGAAAAAATACAGCTCTCGACTGACAGAGCTTTTCAGTTTGTTTTCCAACCTGACACGAAGGTGTTTGTGTTCTCTGCATTTGAAATGTTGGCATTTTTCATAGCTCTGTCCATTGCTTTCACTATATTTGTGGCCACCTCGGTTGTGGTTTGCATACGACGCAAGCAGAAAGCAGCCCGAAATGTTGGATACACAATCAATGATGGTAACAATCGCAATCCAAAACTACACCAAGGAAAGCAAATATGTGCATGGATATATCGTAGTCATCGTAAATTCTTATCGGTTGGGCCATAATCGGCCATTGATTAGGCGGCACATTCCGTATATAGAATTGACAGAGCTGTCTGTCATATGTGACATTTTCAGTTTGCTTAGTGAGGGATCGGTAGGCGTTTGTGTTGTCTTCGATTTCTGTCCAGAAATCGGAAATTAACGATATGTTTTTGGGGCTGTTTATCGGCTTTACCATATTTACCGTTACCACGGCTTTAGTTTGCATACGACGCCGGCAGAAAGCTGCCCGAAATGTTGGCTACTCAATCGGTGAATGTGGTAAATACATAAATAATCGTAATAGACACAAAAAAAAATTTTGCAAATTCGGTTCATTTCGCATTATAAGAGCAGCTGAGTCATCACTGCGTTGGCAATGGCTTATCAGGTGGCTTATCATTGAGCACTGATTAGATACGATCCGTGTTGGCCAGTAAGAGGATACAAAAATATGAACTGCTTTTGTATACCATAACGCTAAAAATCTAGGACGCAACGCTGAAAACGAAGTCAGTGAAGTTGCTCATCGGTCCATCGGTACATCAGTTCGAAACTCTACTTTTTGAATTTCATAAAGCTTTTAGATATATTTGAGGAATATAAAATTTTTCATTAACTTTAGCATAGTATTTCGTTTTGTAGTTTCCCATTTCTAATCTCTATTTTTGCAGCTCCCGTTGTGGTAACATCCGCCACCCACACAGCCCCTGGCGGTTATCCGGTTACCCAGCTTCCCCCGCCCGGATATCCGGCCGGAAATGCCTACGCTGTTCCCTATCCGGCACAGACCACTGGGTAAGTGCAAGGGGGTGCGAAATGAAAATTTCATTTTATATATCAATGTCTTTCCTCTACAGCAATGTGACTGTTCAGATGCCCATGCCGATGCAACAGCAACATCAGCAGATGCCGATGCCAATGCCAGGGTAGGTGCTTTGCTCTAGGGCCCTGGCCCTAGTAAAGTTCAAATGAAATGCAAATATTAATATTTTGTTTCCACACTTGCAGCACGCACACGCATGGAGTTGCATATCCCCCATATCCTGGAGCTGGAGCAGCGAATATGAATCCCCCGACATACGACATGGCCGTTGCAAGTCCCGGGCCAAGTGTGATGCCCGCTGGTTATGAGAAGCAGTCGCCCTACAACCCCAACTTCGGGCAGTAACGTTAGAGCTGTGGAGACCACCACCTCGGTTGAAACTGATTCAGCGAAACGTTTTTGAGAGCATTTTATTCTGTTTTTGTCGATATACGCTTCTATACTCGTCGATTTCATTAGTTTTGTAATTCTTTATACATCTCCCAATGCATCGTGTGTACACTGATTATCCAAAAATGAATTCCACTTCCACATTAGTCAAGATTCGTTTCTCGCCTCCCAAGAGAAGACCAAAGTAAAAGCGACAGCAAAATAAGCCATTTTTATATATTCCTTGTGATGTATGTATCTGTACATATAATATAGTCTTAGCAGCAGCCTAAGCTTACATTTAATTTATATATTTCTACATTAAGGAATCATACACAAACCAAACATCCACTATACATATGTACGTGAAGTGTTAATGTTAAACAATATAAAAGCAAACATAAAAACATAATAACAACGAAGTGCACATCAAATACACTCCCATTTTGTGTATTCCGATGTGCACTATCGGAACTTGAAACGGAAGCGTTTATAGTTAAGAGTGTATTATGGAATAGGTGTTTGCTGGGTTTGCTCCTCCAAAGTGTTTAAAATAAGAATATTTTGATGTGTCCGCTAGAACTGGTTAAAGTTGAGGGTGATCCCTGACGATAAGATATTTCAGATGCAAAACGTTTTCCCTCAACTTGAGGGCGATTAACACGCTACTTTAAAATAATTCCGTGTAATCTACCGCACAACGCCACAGTCTGGGTTGCCTTGCCCGACTCCCCTACATATCAGTCAAATTATTTTCTTGAGATGCGGTTCAAGCTTAGAATAGCGGTCTGTCTGATGTTGATCAGCAATGAAGTGGGTTCCACAGATTACTGTAGGAAGGATCTCTGCCCGCCATTGAGTAGGCACATTGGCTGTGAGAATTATGGGGTATGTCCGCGTGGAATCTATGGTTTCTTTGGCAAGGACTTTCATGAGAGTTGCGGCACTGGTGCGGTCATCCTGCAGTTTCCCATGCATCTGCAGGCACAGCTGTTGTCTAGCCTAAACTCATTCCGCAATGCCATAGCTCTGGGAAGGTATCCTCCATTCAGACCAGCAGCCAGAATGAGCACGTTGCGATGGAGCGAGGAGCTGGCAGGGCTGGCCAAGTTCGCTCTGCGAGGCTGCGATAATTTGCAAGAGCACTGCAGCAACACGAACGAGTTTAAGTATGTATCCTACATCTATGGGAGAACTCGATGGCAGCACAATGCGAAGACAGCACATTCGGTTGTGCAGTATGTGCTGCAGTTCTGGATGGACGATCACAAGAGATGCACGATCGATCACATCAATGCGATTAGGCCACCGAAAGATGGGTAAGCCGAATCGCCAGGGATGGACTGAATTACCCCAGATGAGCTTCAATTTCAGAAAATGCCGCGGATACTTCACTCAGCTGGTCCAAGACCATGCCGAACATATTGGTTGTGCGTTGATGGAGCGGCGTACCGGCAACGGCAGCGGTCAGTACTCCTACGGACTACTCTGTCAATTCTCGCGTGGGAAGATTTTCAGCCAGCGTGTTTACGTAGAGAGTGTGCATCCGGGTGAATGGTGTTTTTCTGGGGCAAATGCCAACTACCAGGGACTCTGCTCGCTCGAGGAGCTTATCAATCCGAATGCTGTGCAATTGGACACTCTCCATTTGCCCCAATCGGTCACGGGTGCTGAATAAAGAAAAGCAAATTAGCTTGATCCGAGATCTGAGTTATTCGTGCCACGATGGCGATGACACACAGAAGGGTACATCGAATGATGTACTCACTATTGCTGCTCTCTCTGCTCCCCTTGCTGCCACGCACAGCGGATGGTTTTGGAGAACTGAAGCCAACTGTGAGGAACACGAACCTGTGTAGAACAGATCTCTGCTCAACCCAAGCGACCCATGTGGGCTGCATCAAGACCAAGGTATGACCAAGTCAATTGGTTTAACGGAAAACTCTTATCCTACAAATTTTGCAGGATTTTGCACCGAACTGTGGCAAGGGCAATCATATCATATTTGTGAACGGCGGCCTGCGGCAGCGCATGCTGCAAAGCATCAATATCATGCGCAACTACGTGGCTAGTGGCGCGGGCAACTTCTCGGTGGCTGGCCGTATGCCCACCATGGGCTGGGACCGTAATCTGGAGCTGTTGGCCAGCCTGCTGGTGCGTCAGTGCGATGAGAAGGCCAGGTTCTGCTCAAACACAGAGAAGTATCATTATGTGGCCACCACCCAGCTAAGCGGCACGATGGCGCAGAACGGCAAAGTCGCCAATCTGGTGATGAATAAGCTTCTGCCATCGCTATACATCGATCTTCTGGGCTGCCGCATGGATAAATACCACAAGCTGCAGCCCCTGTCCGAAGGGTGAGTGAATGGCAGATGTAGAGAGGAGTTGTCCCATTTATCTCTCATGCACGCACCACCAGATCCTGCGTGGGCCACTATGTTCCCCTCATTCAGGACAATGGGAATCGCATGGGCTGCGCCATTCGCATCAGGGCCGATGCCAATGCGACAATTTCCCTCAACCTTCTCTGTCACTTCTCGCGGGCCAACGTGAACAATAATCCGCACTACGAGGTGGCCACCATACCCGGGGAAATGTGCAGCTCCGGCAAGAGCAAGATCTATAGATTCCTATGCGATCGCATCGAACAGGTCGACGCCAATACCATTGGCGACGATGAAGTGACTGGCGGCCAATTTAGCTGAGTTGTAACTGACACTGAATGAGTGAATAAACTCTGAACCTGCTACCAGAACATGCTACGTATCCAAACGGGTCTGGTGGGGTGTCGAATTGGGTCAACTGATAGATCCGCTTGGGCAGTAATCGATTTGGGGAGCGAACTCTATAAGAGACCGCCCGCGAGGTCAGAGCTGGCTAAGTTGGCTGCCTTGTCGAGATGTTGGACACAAAGTGGCTGCTGCTGTTGCTGTGGCACCTCTGGAGCACTAGCGCCTTTGACTACTGCGATCCTGCCCTGTGTCCCGGCCCGGAGAGGCACATTGCCTGCAATAATTTTGGCGTAAGAGCGTGGCGTAGGGAGACAGCAGGGATGATACATTGTTTAGCGTTGGCTTGATCGTTGCAGGAATTGGCGGAAAGCTGCAGTCCGGATGCACATGTGGTTCGCATTTCGCCCAATCGTCGCAACATGATTCTTAACGAGCTGAACGAGTACCGCGATCGGATTGCCAGGGGCGATCTGTTGGGCTTCAGCCCGGCCACGCGCATGGCGACGCTTCAGTGGGACCCGGAGCTGGCCAGCTTTGCCGAGCTGAATGTGAAGCGGTGTGCCCTGGTCAACGATCATTGCCGCAACAGCGAGCAGTTCCGCAACGTGGCCCAGGTGGTGGCCGAGGGCGGCTGGCAGGGTGCACCCGAACGGCCCGTTCCTGGCAGCACCACCGATCACACAGTCGAATACCACACCGAGGACGAGGTGATCAAGGCCACGCTGGAGCAGATGTTTGCCGAGTACAAGGAGTGCACCATGCGCGATATCATCGCCTACAGTCCTCCCATCAGCAGGTAGGTCCCCAACTCTCTCTATAAACTCCAGTGTCCGCCCCCCACTTGACTCTCACAGAACTCTTTACTTGCGCATCAGCAAGTGCATTGCCTACTTCACACAGCTCGTGAGGGACAGCACCACGCATGTTGGCTGCGGCATTCTGCGTGAGTCCCGTAACACCAGCAACGAGGCGGGCCAGTGGCTGCTCAGTGTCCACCAGTACATGACGTGCAACTTTGTGCGGGCCAGCGATGTGAATGCACCTGTATACCAGAGCGGCGACAGATCGGCCACCGAATGCCGCAGCGGACGCAATCCGATGTTCATCAATCTCTGCTCGATCAATGAAATCTACGACACCTCTTCAATCATGCAGGGCCTTGGCATCTATTAAGTTATCAATTACAAATACTTACAAACCATTATCCAAGTTAAAATGTGTGGGAGAAACGAAGGAGGGTTTTGATAAATAAAAAACACCAAACACCGCTTGGGTGCGTCTTCCTTTTGGAAAGTCTTTGACAGGGGAAGTACCATTAAAGAAAGAAAATATTTCTAATAGGTGTGCCATATAAAGGATCTCCTTTATGCGCATTCTCCAGCCAATTGTGGTTCGGTGTTGACCATCTGCTGTACAGCAGTGTTTCAAAGTTAAAGGCTCTTTTTGCCATTATCGCTATTATAATGAACTGAATAAATCCTTTTTGCGGAATTTAAGCTGCACAGTGTCAAGCAAATTGAAATGTGTTTTGCCCGCGGCTCCTCTGGTGTTCCTGCTCCTCGCCTCTGGCTGTCCTGGTGGCGGTCCTGCATCCTGCTGCGCGCTGCTTGACAGTTTTCGCACCTCGGCAACCTGTCAGCCAGCAAAAAAGTTCGTTGACAACTTTAGCAAACAATTTTTTTATCGCAAACTTTCCATGCCTTCTTCCTCTTTTCTATTTGATTCGCACTCTATTATATACACACAAATACATGCATATATATGTACATATATGGTGAATGCATTTTTTAACTGCAAGCGAGTGGGGAAAAAATGACAAACGCAGCGTGAACCACAAATGATGCGCAATAAAATGCAACAAATGAAGGAGAACAAAACCAGCAGCAGGTCGAAGGTCGTTGGTACGACCATAAGATACCCGTTACGCGTAAACCACCTAAAAAGATAACTAAGATAAGGACATCATTTGGTTGTAATAATGAACAGCTTAGGAAAAACCACAGTTTTACGCCAGATATCAAAAGTATTCTGCCCATACACAATATGCCCGTGCATGCTTCGGATACCGGGGTATAACAATTGAATGCTGTGTGAATTGTTCATAAAAACCCCATTTTTTATTAACTTTTCATTGAATTGTGAAATTGTGTGCTGAATTGTGAACGGTATTAAACATTGAAGTGAGAGATCCTTTATACGTACGTGACAATTGTGCATAATCATATTGAAGTTTAATGTGTTGCACTAGTTTAGCCATACACCCGTTTAAGGACCGTAAAAAATGTGTATGTTGTATTGAGTAGATTCTGGAACAGTTCTAAAGTAATGGGCCGAACGTTTCCCAACAATATCTGAAAGTCAAATAGTTTAAAGAGATTCTAATTATTCATTTTAGTCTCTCACAGAAGGAGGACGCTGTGCCCTCATAATCATGAACAGAATATTCTTTCGCATGGGACCTTCGAAGGTGAACCACTCTGTTTCGTAGGCGGCTGTGGCCACGGCCAGATTCTGTTCCCTCAACTCGTTGGCGTACCAGTACAGAGCCAGGATTTGTGCCAGTATCATATTGATGTAGAGACAGACAATAATCAGTTGACCATTGGAGTCGACCTGTCGTCAGAACGGGAACAAATACGAGTATGGATTGCATAGTTCTAATCGGGGAAACTGTGAACTTACAATGATGAGCATGAAGAGCAGCGCACAGAGCAGTGCGGAGAAGGCCAGCAGCTCGAAGAGGAACACCATGGTGGTTAGGCCATTGATTTTGTCCACATACTCGATTATGCTCTGCTGATAGCGAATGCACTGGGCTATCTCCGTAGCTAGGTGCCTCGAATCGCGATGACCTGCCGGATGATGGACGGCCAGGAGGCGCAGGCGGTGCTGCAGGGCCTTGCACCGGACAATGCCGAACATGATGAAGGCCACAATGAGGCTTGTGTACGGAATGTACATGCAACAGCCCATGGGGGTGATGAGCATCTGAAAGACGTACCACAGCTGATAGTAGGGGGTCGCATACTCATCGAGTCCAGGTATCCGGCTGCCAAACGGAAGCACTGCGAATGGATAGGAACAAAAGCCATGATTGCATGGCCTCTGACAATTTGATGTTTGACAGCAGCCTTACCTCTTTCGCTGGAGCTCAGAGGGTAGAGGCCGAAGCCCATGCAGGTGAGCAGGCCAAAGAACAGATTGCCCCTGGCCATCAGCATACCCTGTCGATTCAAATCGTTCAGCATGCCACTGATGTACGTGTCGCTCTCACTCGCCAGATCGTAGTAGTCGGTGGCCAGGCTTTGGATCAATCCCACATAGCCAGCCTGATCCTGCATGAGTAGGTAGGCCCTCAGTACCGTGTTGATCCACAGAACCAGCATGTAGCCATTGCGTATGATGCCAGTGATTCCCTCGTTGGTGGTCAGCATATACACCACCTGCGTGAAGATGTGCATAGAGGCCAGACTGAGGCAGACATACCGCTTCACGTTTTTGTCATACAGCAGGGCCCAGAACCGCAAAATCCTGACGTTCATGCTGATCAATTGGATGTCTTCAAACATTGTACTCAACTTGGGTTGTCTACTTTAATGGAATGCCCTGCTGTTTCGCTTAGCTATAACATTTTATAGACTCTGCCAACAGGTTTGTTGTGGCGCGCACGTCTTGCATCGACTCCCAGCTGAAAGGGTTTTCTTTTTTGCGTAAATTGCCAATGATGTTGCACATATTTGTGCCATGGTTTTGTATTTATTGCCTTTAATTGGCTGCATATTGATTCCTTTTGGTATTTATTCGAGGGGGTAACGAGGGATGAATTCAATTAAATTTTCATTAGAAAAACTAGGAATGCATCATGGAATCGCATTGCAATTCATTCACTGCGCAGGAAATTTGTTAAATGGAAATTGTTTATGATTTGACTGCACCAACAACAATAACAAAGTCAATAATATTTAATATGCTAATTCTATTTGTATGCCCAGATAAAATATATCCAATTCCGATGTGGGTAATGAACCGAAAACCACCTACGGTCGATCGCTTGATAACGGAACGAAGAGAGCGCTGCGCTTTGGAGCCCGGGAAGCTTTTGAGAGCTTTCGGGAGAGAGAAAGCTTGCCCTCAACTATCATCGTTCTAATCGCGTGTATCAGTTAATTTCCAACATTTCACTTGTGCGGTTCAATTAAGACACTCTTTCTGACATCATGGAACAATGGATTGTAGCGCTCTCGCTTCTCGCCGTGCTTTTCGTTCTGCTCTACAAGTGGTCCGTGGCCAAATACGATGTGCTCACCGACAGGGGCGTGCCGCATGCCAAGCCAAAGCCCCTGCTGGGCAATATACCCATCAGAGCTATGGCCGGTGGCCTGCCCGTGCTGAAGTATATGATTGAGGAGCATATGCAGTACCGGGGGAGCAGGGTGTACGGCATGTACGCCCTGAGAGATCCCATCATCTTCCTACGTGATCCGGAGCTGATCAAGCTGGTGGGCATTAAGGAGTTTGACCATTTCGTCAACCACCACAGCATGCACAATAATGCGCAGGAGTCGATTCTCTCGAAGAGCCTCATGTCGCTGAAGGATGGCGCTTGGCGGGAGATGCGCTACATTCTGACGCCAGCATTCACCGGGAGCAAAATGAGGGTCATGTACCAGCTGATCCACTCGTGCAGCGAGGAGGCAGTGAGGCATGTTGGGGAGCAGCTGAAACAATCGAAGGCCGGGGCCATTGAGCTGGAAATGAAGGATTACTTTACTCGTTTCGCCAACGATGTGATTGCCACCGTCGCCTTTGGACTCAGCGTGAACTCATTCAGACGGAAAGACAACGAATTCTTTCGCATCGGACAGTCGCTGTCAAAGGTTAGCGCCTGGGCAATTGTCAAGGCTGTTCTCCATGCCCTGGTGCCGCGACTAATGAAGGTGAGTCTGCTATTGGTCGTTATGTATCTCTATATTGGCTCCCTTGGTCCCATAGCTGCTGCGCATCCAGGTGCTGGATTCGGAGAAGATCGACTAC